TTATTATTATTATTATTATTATTATTATTATTATTATTATTATTATTATTATTATTATTATTATTATTATTATTATTATTATTATTACTATTATTACTATTATTATATTATTAATTATTATCATTATTATCATTGCTACAATAATATATTCAAGTTTTAATTTAATTTAAATGGATAGGAATATGAGGTTAAATAGTGCGAGGATTTCTTCAATGTTGTTTTGGCAATAATTGAAACATTTCAAATTTATTCAAATTGGAATTGAAGAACTGTAAAAATTGAAGTGAAAAAAAAGATAGAAAGGAAAAAAGCGAAAGTGCAAATGGTAAGGAAAAGTGGAAGGATTAATGGTTTTTTTTCTTTTTTGTACATTATGGTGTTTAAGGCTCATCTTTGTAGTGAAATAAAAGTTTGAAATGAGCTGTGTGATATTACCGGATAGCAGCAACGGATAGGTTGATTCATTCCGTAACCGGATGCGGAATTTCTTCCGATCTGATATGTCAGCGAAATCTCACTATATAACATCATTACTTAATCGTACTTTTGATGATGCTTGTATAGAAGGGATTGAGAACTCTTCCAAGTTTTTTTTTTTTTTCTTGCTTACTAGAACTAAAATTCCGTTAGGTTCCAAAAATAAATAGCTGATATTCGTAGGTGTGTGTGTTGTGCTTTGGTGATATGCAATGCGATTGTCCAGCTAATAAATTATCGGCAAACATCAAAGGGAAAAAACTTAGAATGTCCGTGTATGTTTGCCTCTACAAATCCATTGAGTGTGAATTGACGGGATATGTAAGGAGAATGAGCGCAACTGTTCAACAGGCGGTATTGAAATCTCTTCCCTTATTCGAGAGGGTTCAAGGTCCACCTTATACTCACTACCTTCAGGTTAAATATTAGTCATAACAATGAGACTGTTGCAGTCACACCTTCAAAAAATGATGATATATTGCTGCTTTCAAGTATTATGATGTGACAATCAAGATGGAAGAATAGAGGGACGATGTTATTGATTTAGAAAGTGATCTGGAGACAGACAGGTTGTCACACTCAAAAGATGTACAACAAGTTTAACACCATGAATGAATCAATATTTTGTCTGATTGACATGATCAGGCCATTCCTAATCCAATAGCAAATGTTATCAATTCTACAGTAATTTTCAAATTACAATTTCGAAGCAAATGAGTGAGTAAGTGGAATTATTTCGATTAGTTTTGAAGGAAAGCTTAATTACTTTATTTCCATTTGAAATTCATTAATTAATGAAAGTTCATATACAGTAATGTTGGTAATATGGTTTGGGAAGGGACCGTCTGTTCAATATTGTCATTATATATTTTAAAATTCATCGTAAAAAAAAAAATTGAGCTCATGAAATTTCACAGTCAAGACAGACAGACTTTGGGAGAAATACGTCTTCCACAT